TTTAAACAAAAAATTTGGATTATGTTATATTGTTAATTATATAATATATTAAAATTATATTTTCAGTTTCGGCCTGACAGATTTTGCTGCAGAAGGTGCGTTGTGGTGCCATTCACTTCAAGGGATTCCAAATGCACCTCCCGTCCGCAGTGTGATCGCCCGCACTGTAACGAGCGGTACTGCAATGCCCTGCATTCCAGTGCAGTGCAATTTCATTCCAGTGCATACTGTTTTATTCTCATGTAAACTTTAATGTCTAACGCTGCATTTGTGTATTTTATTTTAGATAAATTACGTTAATTTTTATTTTATCCGATCGAAATTAAATCAACAGGCTAACTAATCGATCATAAAAATATATAATCATTAGCTGCAGCCCTATTTCACAGCTTATTATTTGTAACTGGCAAAACCCAAATTTACAGAAATCCCAATTTCCACACTCACATTTATCCCATTCTCATACACAAAGAAATGAATCTTACTTGGTTAGCACGATCTGCCCAACCAGCTCTTTAATGCATACATCCTGGAAGTCCTGCGGCCCACACGAGGAATATATATTTTGCATAAAGTCCAGAACAGTCTCGTTCCTCAGTACTTTATGACTGACGTCGATATTCAACATGATGCTGGTTTCATACTGCAAGATGGAGGTTGAGAAGCCAGGCCAGACAGTCAGCCTAACAAAAGAAATTGGAATTACACAAAACTAATTTGTTACCTTTTTGCATTTTTATTATATTTTAAAGGCCAACCTCAAGATATAAAATAAATATATATACATTTTTTAATATTATTTTTACTATAATCTAAATGTCCTCAAGCAGCTTAAAAAAAATTAAACGCTGTCAGAAATACTCATCTTCACTCAAGCACGGTCCCTAAACCCTTCTTAGAGAGACACGCTTCTCATTGAACATGACCATGCTGACGAATGAGAGCCTGCCATTTGCGAGCATTATGCTAGATGCTCAGTGCAGGGCTGCAGTGCGCTGTACAGATCGTACACTAGCTAGCACAGGAGGGATGCCAGGTCGAGTCAAATGTATGAACAGCCGGGGTGGGGAAGTTCATTTTCTCACATTTTTCCCCAGGGGGCGCGCGCAAGCAGAAAAAAATTGCCGTCTGGAGACGGCAACCCGCAGATGCTGCAGTGCCGTCCGTCCGTTTTTTTACTACGGGCGGACGGCAAGAGGTTAAGCGAGACTCACACTGGTGGGTTCCAATTTCTTTCCTTTCCATAATGTTGCTTCCCATTATCTTGTGTCTAGTACAGTGAGGGAGAAGCAGCTCACTAATGAGATCATCCCTCTGGTACTCTGTTTTATCCTCCTATCATGCTGCGGTGTGAACATAAACTGATTGGCTCCTTATGCCAAATCAAGTTCTTTTCCTCTCCCCCCACCAAATTATATTCTATTCCTCTCCCCCCACCAAATCAAGTTCTGTTCCTCTCCCCCCACCAAATCAGATCAGCTCTAAAAGTACTCCGGGAAAAACATCGACTTACTTGTGCAGTGGGGTTACCCCCACACAGCCCTCATTTTGTCTAGAGGGCTCAGATAAAGCAGTTTAACTGGGATTTGTAGTTCCACCACAGCTGGAGGGCCGGAGTATGGCTATCCCTGGCTTAGGGGGTGAGGACATGACACCTATTCATTCAAGGCATGTTCTCGTACAATTAAAAAAAACTAAAGGCATCTTGTGGCAGAAAAGATATACTGCGGGGGACAACTCCAGATTACAGAAGAGTATTGTAGCCTGAGCGGTATTTGTATTTTTTTAGTCTGCCTAGAGGCTCAGTTTAATCTAAAAACAAAATTGGGGGTTAATACTAGATCATCAACATGATGGACAGGCAGGCGGCTAGCATTTTGTAGAAGTTAGGAACAGGTTTTTTTTTCCTCTTAGGCCAGACTCAAAATGTGCATTGTGGTAACAAGCAGTGAAACTGTTACCACAAAGCATGAGCGGTTCCCACAAAGCAGAATACACAGGAGGGAATTTATCAAAACTGGAGCAGACAAAAACTGGAGCAGTTCTGCACAGCAACCACTCATCTTCTCTCTTCACTTTGTTCAGTTAGAATTTGAAAAAGAAAGAGAGAAGCTGATTGGATGCCATGCAACAACTGTTCCAGTTTTTGTCTGCTCCAGTTTTGATGAATTCCCTTCAAAGTGCCCTGCCATTCATTCTTGCAAGCACACCCAACATGCATTTCAGCATACCGCAAAAGTGTTGTGCTGCGTTAGCAACAAAAAAAGTGCATATCCATTTGTGTACTGTGGTACATGGCATGCTGGGTTTCCTTTAGAGAGCATGAACACATCTGCTCATGAATGAAGGGAGCACAAGGGTGCTGAGCATGGAAGGTGACATTTTGCATGTATTTTGCAAGCATTCTGCATTGGTGGGGTGGCCTACAGCACTACAGTTATTTCTTTAAGAACAGAAGCCTAGAGCAGGTAGGTACCCCTGCATTTCATTTATAACCTGGACCAGAGATAACTTTTAAAACAGCTGTACCTTACACAGAGACATACAACACTCTAGAAGGCAAGAGCTTAGACTGTATTTTAATACCGGTGAGCTCTGATTTCTGTAGCATCATTGGGGTTGTAGTAGTTGCGTCCAATCTGCTTCATGTTCATAATCTTGAGAAGTCTGCAAATGTGAATTTCATATGAGTGAGCAATAGGAATAGCAATAATCTTCTCATTGAGCAACAGACAGAACATAATAGGCTTCAGATTGTTAATGCAGCTCTGTAATAGGCTGGTCCATTCTTTACAACCCTACAAATAAGTTTAATATTTTTTTTATATACTATGGTGTGTGTATATATATATAAGAATTAGAGAGACTCTGTCACTTTGCACATTCCCCTCATGAGACATTTATACTCTCTATGCTCTCGTCATTCTTTACTTGGATGATCACAAAATACTCAGTGTCAGAGCTTAGGAGGCAGCGGTGACCCACAATTACATGGCCTACTTGTTTCTATGAGTTTGAGGGACGCAGAATATCTGAAACCTTTTGAGTCATAATACCGCCTATAGGAGGATTGGACACGGACAAAAAAAAAAAAAAAAAAAAAAAAAAAAAAAAAATACAACATTAGCCAAGCAG